CCAGTTTTGCTGCTGACAACCAAAACCAACTGATCACATGCTCAAGAAGGACCATCAGCCTAACAATGGATCATTAGCACACTGATGGCTGTTTACTACTCACAGAGGGCTGAGTGATACTAGCAATCACAGCATTGTAAGAGGGGGACAGTTGAACCCGGAGGCCTCCACCCCTGTTTAATGATGGACGGTTTCTTTTCACAAAGATGGCCTCCTTTACTCCTCTCTCAAACCATCGTTCCTCTCTATCCAGGATGTGCACATCTTCATCCCTGAAAGAGTGACCGCTGGCCTGGAGATGAGTGTAGACCGCAGAGTCCTGGCCTGATGATGTTGATCTTCTGTGCTGGGCCATCCTTTTGGCCAGTGGCTGTTTTGTTTCCCCGATGTAAGACTGATCACAGCCCTCCTGACACTGAACAGCATACACAACATTACTCTGTTTGTGCCGGGGGACTGGATCTTTAGGATGAACCAGTCTTTGCCGTAATGTATTTTGGGGTTTAAAAGCCACTGGGACGTTATGTTTAGAAAATAAATGTCTCAGTTTCTCTGATACTCCCTCAACATATGGAATGACCACTGGTCTGGGTCTGGGTTCCTCCTTTTCACCTGTTGGCTGACTGGAGTCCTGTTTGGGTTTCTTCTCTGCTTTTAGGAAGGCCCAGTTAGGATATCCACATTGCTCTAGAGCCTGTTTTGTGTGGGATTTCTCCTTCTGCCTGGCTCCTGAGCTAGTGGGGACGCTGTCTGCTCTGTGATACAGAGTCCTGATGACTCCTAACTTGTGCTCCAAAGGGTGATGGGAGTCAAACTGCAAATACTGGTCTGTGTGGGTGGGTTTGCGGTACACCTCAGTTTGCAAATGTCCTCTATCAGAGACTGAGACCTCACAGTCCAAGAAAGCCAACCTGCCATTTTTTACATCTTCTCGTGTGAACTTGATGTATTTATCCACAGAGTTGATGTGGTCAGTAAAATGTTGGACTTCCTGAGATTTGATTTTAACCCAGGTGTCGTCAACATACCTGAACCAATGACTTGGTGGTGTCCCTGAAAAGGACGTCAAGGCTCTCTTTTCTACCTCCTCCATGTACAGGTTGGCAACAATAGGAGAAACTGGAGACCCCATAGCACACCCATGTTTCTGCCTATAATATTGCTCCCCATATGTGAAGTAGGTTGACTGCAGGCACAGTTTCAAGAGTTGACACAATTGTTCTGTGGAAAGCGTGGTCCTGCTGCTCAGAGTGGTGTCTGATTTTAATCTTAAACTGACCACCTCTACTGCATCATCAACAGGAATGCACGTAAAGAGTGATGTGACATCAAAAGAGACCATTGTTTCATCAGTCTCCATGATGACATCCCTCACCTTGTCCACAAAGTCCATGGTGTTCTGTATGTGGTGTTCTGAGCTGCCAACTAAAGGGATGAGTACAGAC